CACCTAATTCTCGATACATTGTTAAGAAGTGTACCACTCAATATATGCATTTTACACATCAAGTATATACTTCTGCTCACATTCATATTCATATACTCCAACAATTCTAAATGCAAGGTTGGTTATTCAACCCTACATATTGTGCAGTCGAAAGCAACCCTCAATTTCCAAAACATGACTAATGTATATTTACATACTATATATTTACATACTAGTATTTGTTAATCCAACAATGTCCGATGTGAGAATTATATAAGGTATTCTCTTTTTACTCACAAGATGATGAACTAAATTTTACAGCTACCAAAAATGTACAAATGTTTTTAAAGAGGTATTTATTACTTGTTTACATATACCTTTTAGCCAAATAGTCAAGTGTGTGTGTGTGTCTTATATATAAAAGCAATTTGAAAACTTATGCATTATAGAGAACATAGTCTACTTTTAAGAATGCTTGTCACTAAATTGTCCCAAGATCAGCAGATCCCCTAACATACGACATCATATTTTTGTGATTATAACCTAAGGGAAACTGAATTTTACATGAAAGAGTCCAGAGCATAGTAGCTATATTATCACCACATACACAACTTAATGCAGCTACGAGAAAATACCAACAAAGAATTCACTATGCCAAACCAAATTCCAAGAAATGATTCCTATTATTAATGTCAATTCAAAATTAAAGATCTCAATTACTTTTACAAAGCCTATTTCAGATTTTCAGAACAAATTCAAATTTAGATTGATAACTTTAGTTAATTGCAAGGAAATATTCAAGATTCCATTAATACAATTCTACGGGTTGCAAATTTCAAAAACAATTATATCAAATTAACAATGTTATAACATCTTGGATATCTTTGCAATTGATGTCTCAATTCAAAATAATTTCGAATACAAGACTTACAACAAAGGAAAATGAATCAATCAAGTAATTTTCATTAACAACTATCGAATTAACATATTTATACAATTCAATATACAAACAAGATCTTTCAAAATCTGATTTAAACCAAAATAAAATATTCAAGAACTTATCAGACTTTGAATAGGAAAATAAATGCAAGCACGGGCTGAAAATTTCAGGGAAAAACATATCAATCTCTATATGAAAAACATGTGACAACAGAGATGTAAATGATTGCTCACTCTACTCATCAGATAGAAATAATTTTTTGAATTACAAACGACTCCAGAACTCAAACAGTCACAATCTTTAAGAAGCAAAGTAAGTGTTTAACCATTTATACATACAGCGAGAAAATACATTCAACAAGTCACAATCTAGCAGAATCATATCAATTGCAAAAATGTGTATTCTTTTGTTCCGATCATGGAATAGATGAAATAACTAGAAATGCAACCACAACTACAATTTAAAATCATGTTTGCTTTTATTCTTTCGCAACATAATTGCAATATAAAAACTTGGATAAAAGGATAATGGATTACTAAGAGAAAAGGTGAAAATTTAAATACTAAAAAAAATTAAAACCTAATTCTTTATTCTTTTAGACTCTTTCTTAGAGTCAATGTATCACCAACAATTTAAAACCTAAATGAAAATCAATACAATAGAACTTCAATATATGACTTGACTCAAAGACAATAAACATCACCTTTGTACAAAATTAGTTAGGGTTAGCGACACACAGTCACTGTAATTGAAGGCACAACTTTATTGGTTTGAGATCTTTTGAATCACTATTATAAAGGCATGAACTCATTTTTTATGATCGCTCAATCAATAAACAAATTTACTCTCTTTATAAAAAAGGATGTTCAATCAACAAGATTTTATTTTTCAGTTCATCCCTGGAGTTGAATACCTCATTCAATAATTGTTTTTGATCAAATACAGGGGAATCAATAAGGCAAAGCCTTTATGATACACCATATCTGACTAGATCATTGATAGAGAAAATATATATGCTATTTCATGAAATCTTTATTTTGATTCAAAATCATGGTGTAATGTGCATTTTCTTGTCCTAATCATGGAAGAGATAAAATAACTACAGTTGCAAAAATAATTATTGCCCTGTTTCGATCATGGTATGGATGAAATAACTATTGTTACAACCACAACTATAATTTGAAACCATGTTAGCTTTTTATTCATTTGCAAATCAATTGCAATCATAGTTGCAATTGAAAACCTTAGATCAAAGGATAATGAATCACTAAGAGAAAAGGATAAAAATTCAACAATAGAAAATTGAAACAGACAACTTTATTCTTTCAGACTCTTTCTCAGAGTCTCTGTATCATTAACATTTTAAAGACTCAATGAGAATCAACACGATAGAACTTTAACACATGACTCGACATCAACACACTCAACATCAATAACAACATCACCTTTAATCCAAACTAGTTAGAGTTAGGCGACATAGATGACATAAAACACTATAATTCATAATTGAAGACACAACTTTGTTTTAAGCTAAAATACCACATTTAATGATTGTTTTCACAACCAATATCACGACTCATGACACTAAACAAAAGGAGAAACCCTTTTAAAGCTCTAGAGCCTTAACTCCAGATTCAAATTTCGCAAAGCAGGGTCATCATCATTCATGTCAGCCCAATTAACAAACTCATTGTTATCAATGGGTTTATCCAGCAGGTTGATATATGCCCTAGTTCCATCAATTGGAGACACTTCCATCTCTTCTTGGTGAATTGGTGGAACTTGAAACTGTGCCATTCCATTTACATTATTCCCAGCAGATGACATATCTTGTGGTGGAAGCTGGAGTGGTTGAAATGTTTGTGAAGCAGCAACCTGCAGGCTAGCATAGGAAAATGAGTTTGTTCTTGGCTGAGGCATCACCATAGGTTGTTGTGGGGGTGCTTGAAAAATCCTAGTGTCAGCAAAGTTTCGATTTTCCTGGATTAGCATTGATCTAGGAAAATTAGGTTGCAAGGGGTTGGGAATATGTTGTCTTTGGGAATTGTTATGATTTGATGAATTTAGCCCTCTAATGGCAAGATTTTCTTGAGCCATGTGATAATCAATATGGACCATGAGCTCTTGAAAGCAAGGGAAACCTTGGCCGCAAATTCTACATGCAACAATGTTATGCTCAGGGCGTTGTGTATAATTGAAGGACATTGTGATGATTTAGGTCAAAAAAATTATGAAAAGGCACAATGTGAGCATTCAACTCCTCAAATGAGGCTTTTTATAGCAAAAAAAATGTATATGCACATTAATTGCTATTTTGAATATTTGTGGTTACATTTATAGAAGTTTAATTATTGTCTGTCAGAACATTTATTATATTTGTCCAAATAAAAAGAAACGACTTGACTGATAATTTGAAAATATATTTCAATTAATACAAAATATTTAGTGTTGAGACCATATCATACTCTGAGGACAAGGTGATCGTAGGAGGTTGAATGAGAATACCCTCCAGATTATACCAAATAAATAAATAAATTATGGGAAAAATGTTTCTGCAGTTAATGCAGATAAGTTATCTGCATTTATTCCCAAAACGACGTCGTTTTAGTATTGAAATCTTAAAAATTATAAATATAAAGACTATTATAACTCTGAAATAAATTAAAATTACAAAAATACCATGATTTCTGTCCCAAAACGACGTCGTATTGGGCTTACTACAGATAACTTATCTGCATTAACTGCAGAAAAAACGAACCCATAAATTATTTTAAAAAAAGGATAACATAAACTATCATACTGCCCATTAAGGTATTAAATTCATTTTACTATGGTAATTATTTAAATTTCCAAAATATAATTTAAAGTTTGGCAAAATGTTTTCCACCTAAATGTTAAAGTTATTAATTGGCATTCATTCTTTCTCTAATCTGATTTATTATATTTGTTCTTCATTTTCGGTAGTTATTTAATTTTTTTATATTTAAGCTTGGTAAATGAAGATTAAAAAAAATTAAAATTTCAATATCAATAAAGTTTATCCATTATTACTAAAGCTTCTTTTGCCATAACATAATCTAGGATAGATTTACCCAGATTCAGGTCTCCCACCATTTAGAAACTAATTAATCTCGTTGTAGCTATTTTCTTTCTTTCCTTTTTTCTTTTTGGTAGGTTATTCAGTTTTTTATATTTAAGACATTAAATGATAAGTGAAAATTCATAAAAGCATTCTATATCTACTGTTTATCCATAATTACATAAATCATTTTTGGTATAACAATTCAAGGATGGATTTTAGCCAGATTGCAGATCTTCTAAATTAAATTACAAAAAAACAAAATCCTTTCTATACCAAGGAGCACCATAACTCGTCAGTTATTATTTAACCAGTATAATTTCATTTATATTTAAAAAAAAACCTGTTATGTTATGTCAACTGAAATTTAATAATTGTGTACAATCTATAACCTACAAATTCTAATAATGAAATATTTATATCTGAATTTATATTTATATTATATTTAATAGTTTCACACTTTCTCTCACCCCTCCCTATTTTTTCATCCCTATATAAATTAATTTTAAGGAAAACACTATATATAGCCATGGCTGTGTTGCCCAGGTGATGACCAAATGAGGTTAAACACCTTCCTTATTCTCAGTTTTGTTAAATATAATTTTTATTCTATCTATATATAATATATTATTCTAAATTTTATATTATTCTTAATTATCAAATCAGTTATAATATTATTTTGAATGAAATTTATTGAATAAATTGTTAAAGACTATTATATGAAAATGATTTTGTTTCAAATTATAAGAAAAAATTCATAATATAGTTAAGAATGAGCTAAATATGTGTGTGAGCAGGCGTGTGTGTATGTGTGAACATAAACTATATTGGTCATAGTTTTTCCCCCTTTAAATTGTATATAAAAGGTTAAGAAATGCATGTAAATTTGTCTAAAAAAAGTGAATTGTTTAATGTGTCAAATAAATATAGTGGTCTATATGATTATAAAGTTAAAAGTGTATCTAGAGATTATTTCATTCAGAACATTTTTTATTTAAAAAACAAAACAAACCAAAACCGGTTAAATTGTAATTACATGTACAAAAGAATAAAACACCAATAGAAATATATACATACATCATTCACTACTCTTCCATACTTCTCGCAAAAGCTCATACCGAACAACCTTACGGCCTCCTTTTACCACAGCAAAATTTTTCTTAGATGCAAGTGAGGAATCATCCATGCCAAGAGTAGAAAGGGGAGAATCTAATTCATCAAGTTCATCATCACTGGTATATAACTTTTTGAGCACAAATGACCCACTTCTTAGTAAATTTTGGGTTCCCACTTCTTGTAGCATGCCCACAATTGAAGAAGCTGGAGGTGGTCCATAGAATGTGGAACAGGCCGTGCATGGAAAGCTTGTGATGGAACCTTCATCATCCTGAATATCCTTAAGTCATGAAAATCCACCCCCACCACAAAAAAAAGAAAGAGTAGTTTCATTATTTGCTTTTGTTATTGTTGAAAGGGAAGGGACTAAAACAGTATAGAATGTAGACATTGCAATTACCCATTGACTACACCATAGTTATTGCTTATATTCACTGAGGAATGAAAAGCATACTAAAATTCAACCAACCTCGTTGTTCAAGGCCTCAAGAACAGCATCAGGGATAGGTCCTGGGGAGAACTCGTCGGGGACAAAATTGTTGAAAACATGTCTTATCAAGGATATACCAAATCTAGGGCATACCTACGTAAGTTTTTACATAATAAAAATTCAGAAATAGTTTCCCTAAAAAATAAAAAAATAAAAACACAAGTCAACAAACAAAAAGTTTGACCAACCTCTTTTCTCATAGACCCATCTGCAAGCATTTCAAAAGGAAGCATCATCAGATCACTTAATGCATTAAGGAGATGGAAAGGTTTGGAGGGTGGTTCCCGTTTTGGGTCATCATTTTCATTGCTATCTTCATGAGAGTCACTATCATCCATGCCAAATAAATCTGAAAGCCATCTTGACCAGTTACCAACCTGAGTAACAGACAATGAAAAGTTAACCAAGAGAACGAACATCACAAATCCTTCATGGAACTACAACCAAGCTTTATCTCAATAGGCCAGGTTGACTTACGTAGATCAATCAACAACATTAAGCTCTATTACAAACCAAATTTTCAGTAAAACCATTTACAGGAATGTCATTCTAATTAGTTTCTCAACTTCTCTAAGGTCTTTCTCCACCCTTTTTAATTGGACTAACTTCCTTATCCTCTTTTCTCACTGAAACCTCTACTGGTCTTCTTGTCACACGGTATCAACTTAGGCGAGTTTCCATCATCTTCTCCTCAATTGATGCTACTATAACTTTCTACCGGATACATTCATTCCTAATCTTTCTTTACTTGTGTATCCACTCATCCAGCTCAGCATGCTTATCTCTGCTCATACTTATTAATCTCGGATAGCGGCGCGTAGCGGTTAACCCTCCAAACTGCTATAGCGCTATAGTGGGTAGTGTTACATCGCTACTTGCAAAGTGTACGTGTACCTAAGTGATACACTAAATTGTACTCCACAAATATAAAACTTAAAATATGAAAATGTGACATAAAAAGCAAATTTGAAGGATCTCAAACTCAAACATAAATGATTTCAAACATTAAAATTCAAATCATAAGCAAATTGAAGGAATTAAAGTTTCAAATAATGTAACACCACAAAATAAAGTGACAAAATTAGTCAAAATTCAAATTGCCACTTAAGTGAAATGTCAAAATCAAAGAACTTAAGGAACTAATCATAATTGAAATCATGAACATCCAAATCTTCATCTGCACTTTCACTTGTATCTAAGTTGTAAATCTCTTCCTTCTACGACGAGAACACTTTTGCAGAAACTACTGTAGTGCCGCAGCAATAGCGCCGCGATTCAGCTGCAATAGCGGCCGCTACATCCGCTACACTTTGCCTGACCGTCGCGGTGCGGTTTGTGGCGGTCGGCCACTGCACCGCAACGCAACTCCGCTATAGCGCGCTAAAGCGGGGCTATTCACAAGTATGTCTCTGCTACATTAAATTTTGCTCTTATTAGCACTTCATTGCCCAACATGCACTACCATAGAACACGGCTAATTCTATAAGTAATAAAACTTATTTGATTTTGTACCATCATGCCACAAATTTACAAGGACAACGTAAGGAGTATGTCAAAGCAAAACTTCAAAAACACTCATGTTTTAATTTTATTAGTTATAGAATTAGCCATGTTCAGTGGTAGTGCATGTTGGGTAATGAAGTGCTAATAAGAGCAAAATTGAGTGCAGCAGAGATAAGCATGCTGAGCCGGATGAGTAGTTGCACAAGGAATATGTCTAAGCAAAACTTCAAAAACACTCACGTTTCAAAAACACTCTAAATCAATGTTAACTATGCTTCAAAGTTCAAAAGCTTTGAATTTTTAGTGTCTTTCAAAATTTTAATAAGTTTAATGAATTCAAAATCACACTCTGGAGAAATGAAATTTGTTTTTTAGAAGAAAAAAAACTCTGCAAATTGCTATTAAATATTTCTGAACTAAAAACAAAAAATAAAAAATTAGAGTTTGTATCTAACACCCATCCACAACCTTCCACTAGCATTAGTTTATTAAGACTCAACAACTGACAGATTGTTTTTTCAATAATTCCGCCAAAACCTAATACGAAACTTTACATCTTTGATCGGCTATCAAACTTCCTCAAAGTCATCCTAATGCATATGATACAGAGGAAGCATGCGTTGCAAGTAAACATATATAAAGTGGTGCATGAAACATTTGGGATATAGGACACAAATCAGAAGATTATGATAAATCTTGTGCATTAAAAAAGAAGAAAGAAGGTAAAGAACAAAAAAAGTTTCATCACTCACAGCATTTTTCAGTTGCGCACCAGCCCCAAAGCCTGATTTTCCAGCTGGAATAGGAAGAACCTTAGAATCACTAATGGGATCAGATATAGGATCCGTGGGCATCTCTTCAGCTGATTCACGAAGAATAGCATTGAACATTGCCACATCAAGTCTATTAACTAACTGCTCCATCACCTACAATCATAAGAGTCCTATTTCAATCAGGCTGCATTTCAATTTTTAAGTTTTAAAGATAAGAACTAAATAGCCCATATTATCATTAAGAGAAAACAAGAACATGTACAAAATCTATCCAACTTGAAAATTTTCAAGAATAAACCAATGGTATGACCAAGTGTTACGACTCGTTATACCTCAAACACCTGGCAGTTAGTCAATTAGTAGTTGTGGTTGTGGACTATTCATTTTATTGAGGGCTTTAATTACAGCTATGGGTAGTTAGTAACACCCTATTAGGAAGCTAGACAGTTAGATGTATAGGAGGAATTCACGAAATGTGCATAAAAGGGCATAGTTCCCGTTGTTAGGCACTTTTGGCTGAATTAGTGACTTACTGAGTAGCTTCTCAGTGTGAAGGGAATTCTCCCTTGTGAAGAGCATAGCTCTTGAGTTTCATTTTTCTTAATCAATAAAGTTTTTCCTTGCATCTTCAATCTTTTCCCTACTCCCCATTCAATTTCCATTTTTCAAATCCCCAACTGTAACACCAAGTCTATACATACAAACTATTAAGCAGAAGCAAATAATAAAATAATGAATGGATGGAAAAAGCCTATGTTTACCGCAACAATCAAGAATCACATCAACCCAAAAGCAGCAAGTCCCCGAATTGTTTTTATCTCTAACAAGCCCCTTCATCTTGAAACATAGACAAAGCACACCTTATATAAAAATTCAATTTATATGAAGAATAGGTGTGACGAGGATTGAAGTTATGAACACATGGTCAAAGAGGCTCTATCCCATGTCAATGATCAAATCAAGAAGAAGCTTAGGATGTCAGGTGTTGGCGGCTTGGCGCGAAAATGGGGTTTTATAAAGGTTCAAGGAATGAATGAACAACAGGATGCAAGTGCAGTCTATAAGGGTGTTCGTTACCATCTGCCTATATAATAAAGTACAAATAGTCAACTATAAAAAAACCAATCAGAACGCAACAAACACACAACCAGCCATGGATAGAAAACTCAATGCATATGTTGGTTGTCAAAAATAAAAATTAGAGAGAAACAAAATTAAGATATTCTCAGGTTTGGATTAGCTTAGCTAAGCTCAAAAAAGTATAATGATATAAAAAAGCAAAAACAGCAGTAAGCCTAAAATACCACCATATTCACAAAGCATGACAGAAGTTGCTTTAATATTTTCTCCTACCTATTTATTATCTTTCTATATTCTCACTCAAGCACAACACTTCCACCTTATGGTTTTAATCACTTTTAGCTTTCAATTTATGCTCACTTGTCTGTTCACATGCACATCAATACCCCTTTTTTTTAAAAAAATGAAAAAAATAGAGAATATAGAGAATAAATGATTTTATGATCTTAAATAAATACCCACTAACTATAACTTCCAACATTTCAAGATAAGTATTAAGCATCAAAGTGACAAAGTCATCAAGCCAGGAATTTTGCATGATTATAAAAATATTTGTACATCTACATCTATACACATGCATAAAAGCAGAATATAAGTATGAATCCAGCATTGCAACACATTGTATCAAGATATATCAATGTTAAATTGTACCAATCTAGCTATCACAGGCAAGCAGCCACAGTCATGTCCTCCAGCTCGAAGAGGGCAAAGCCTTTCACAAGCATCCTTGAAAGCTCTTTTCCATAAATCAATAGAAAAGCTTCCTTGATCTTGATCACCTATTCCATATCTCCTCCCAGAGATTTTCCTAGAGCTAGAGCTCTTAGCAGCTGCAGACTGCATATACGGAGTCAAAGTCTGGGGACAACAAACACCAAAAAGTATCAGCAAAAAATACAAGGGCATTCAGTTTCAAATCAAAGTGTTCTGAGAGGTGATCAAGAAGCAGAAGAAAAAGGAGGAAAAAATAAAGGGTTGATTCAACCTGCCACCACACAGATTCAACGATTCGAGAGAATATCCACGCTTCAACCTTTTCCAATGCAACTAAAAATGTTTCTGGATCCTCCCAGCTATGAATTTTTTTTTCTGCATTTTCTTTTTCTTCTTCAGGAAGAGGGGAACCATTTCCATCAAATTTCCTATTGATGCATGGACCGTCACCAAGGTGTATATTTTCAACTCCTTTGCTCACAATTGCTCTCAGCAATATTAAATTTGAGAACCAGAATGTCAACCTATTCATGGTTAAGAAACAATAAACTAAGAACTGGTACAACATGCATGCACATAATGAAAAGTGCGCAGAGGTCTTTTTGAAAACGATGTTAAATCAACCAGACTTCAATAGATGCAACAACAACCAAAGCTATTTTTAATTAATCCATTTGATCCATTTTTCTTATTGGAACCTTTGTTGGTCTTCTCCTCACATGACCAAACCACCTTAGGAGAGTTTCAATCATCTTCTCTTCAATAGGTGCTTCTCCAACATTCTCACAAATACATTTATTCCCAATCTTATCTTTTTTGTATGCCAAAACTTCGACAGACAAGAAAATTTTATAGCTGCTTTTCACAGATAAAGAACATTTACTCCATATATCAGAACATAAAGTTACTTTCTTAGGTTCAGCTTTTATCAAATCTATTTTATGCTGTTTAGATCCATAAGAACAAGATCATCAGTTAAATACTCCTGAAATTTTATATCATTTCATTATACTTAGAAAGTTATGAAATAAAGTTTTATATACCTTGGAACATCATTTCCACATGCTTTAGAAACCAAAACAAAACCAGAGATAGCAGTCTGAGCTGCACTAGCTATTTTAGCAGGGGAGCCAACACTACAAGCATTGAAATAGAATCTAGAAAGGCGTCGAGCAGGTGCATGGACCTTGTTTGATGAGCTACCATGTTCAGCAACAACTGAATACATCGAAACTTCAAGAGCAGCAGCTTCCATCAGCTCTTCTCGAAGCATTTCAACTTCAGCCTTCAATTCAGTTTTATCATTAGGAAAGCTTCCATTCAGATTAATTTTGTGACAACCAGTACCAACATGAACATCATTCAAAATATTAATTTCCTCCGCCTGATCTAGGGTCTGATTCCTGATGAACAGTCCATATCTCTCAGCAGATTGTGAAGGAAACGTTACATTTGTCACATCCTCTGCTTTATCATTCATCAAAATATTTGTAGGATGTTCATGTGATTTTTCACTTAGTAGAAGAGTATCACTATTTAATTTTCCTTTCCTTGTAGAATCATCACCAGAAAAATTATTAACAAGTTTATTTTCCAAAAGCTCATTCCTCATAGTAAACTGTTCTTGTCGTTTTCTTCTCTTGTCCATTTTCTCTTTGTCCTCCATAACTCCAGCGTTAGAAAAATTGCTAACTCTCTGTGGATCATAATTGTTATATCTCTGGTCTCTTGTGCTATCTTCTTGAGTCACGCTATCCTCTTGACTCACTTGAGATTGGGAAGATCTTTCAAATTTTGGTTGCATACTTGATGAAATGTATGAAGGGGAAGATATGGCTCTGACCATATCACCCTTAGTGACATTTTGCTCACAGGATTGTTGAATGATTTCTCGAACTTCAGAACTTGCATCAGCAACCTGGACACTTCCCTCAGAAATTTTAGGTAAAGAAGACCTGCCATTTGCAGCATTTCCGATATCTGAGCACAGAAAGACAGATGAAGAGGGATATTTGAAACTGTTGAACTTTGTGGATTCTTCATCGTCTGTGTTTCCAAGTAAGCTAGAAGAAGTACTTTCCGAGGGTAGAACAAATTCTCCATTATATCCCTTTGATCCTCCTTTGCTGATTTTGATGCAGTCTGAAATCAAAATGGCAACAGGCTATTAACATGGCAGAAACAGCTGCATTTCTGTATAAAATATTATTTGTCTAGATATCAAATAATCAATAGAAAAATTGCATCATCTGTAATGCGTTTACAATTTTACATAGTTCTATCTAGTCCCTTCACTATATATCTACATAACATATAAAAAGGATAATGTGTCAACACATTCAGAGTTCAAATATTTGATCAATTTATACTGGATCTAAATTGACAATTACAAACCAACCTTACAGGTAGTTGATATACAAATGTGCCATGAATAAACAAATATAGGATAATGTCATCTCATCTCCTGAATATAGTAAGACCAATGGAACATGAATTCCAGCAAGATACAGCTAAACACAACAAGCATGTTGATGTATATGATCAATGCATATTTTCATACCAAAAATAAAGAGAAGAAGAATTAATTAATACCATAACCAAAAGTAAAGCATCATAGCAGTTTTTGTTGAGCAAAATCCAGCTCAATACGGCGACAGCAAGAATTTGAGGTCAATTACTACCAAATCATAATAAACAATGTCCATAAAATGTAGAAAGTAATCCGTTTGCTAAAGTGACAATGATTTGATCATTTTGCATTAAACAAGAATAGTACATAAACAATTTTAGTACTTTTTAACTTAGAGGGGGCAAACCTCCTGTCTTCTCTGGAGCAGATCTGATACTTTGCAAGGAGGTATTTGAAGGAATGTCATCAATGTCATCATCAGTAAAAGAGGCAATTTCATTATCATCATCTTTTAGTGACTGTGATACAGATTCAGTTTCTTCCTTGTCTAGTGACAATTCTTTTGACAAGCTGCTGGTTGGTGATGAGCTGGAACACTCTATATCAAATGGCTGAATATTAACATAAAGAAATGGTTGGGTTGAGTTTCTGAAACTCCTCTTGCAGTTCAACACAACGTTTATGGCTTTAGTTTCCTTAATAATTCCAGAATCTGCAAGGTTAATTGTGGCTGTTCCCAATAGTTGACTTTTAACTGTCTTGTCATACAAGTAAAATTCTAAGCAGTTCTTCTGGAAAGTCTCACGGTGTTTGCCTTTCTTGGATGCTTCTCTCCACAAAAGAACTGAAAGCCTGAAAGATTCATTAAATTCGATTTTTCCATTGGCAGAACTGGAAGCCAGAGACCCAGAATTTTGATCACCATTTTCCCATTGCAGTAACACAGATTGAACAGATCTCAGTGATTGTGAAGGGGGCCATGGCTTGATCTCCTGAACATGGATGATGTAGTGAACTTGGATTGAGACACTTTTTCTACTCTTTGATCTTATTCCCAGAACCATCTTCACAAAATATACCAGTGCTATTCTTGGTGGGTATGCTGACCCACTCTAAATGATGAAACCTAAACACAGGACAAGAATTAGAGAAAAAATGAGGATGTTTCAAAACATTTCAAACGTACTTAACTGATAAATTATTTTAGATAAATAGATGACAAAAGGTGGAAAAAAACATCCAGCTTTGATTTGAAGAGTAATATGAGAACGTGAGAAGGTCTCCTTATTAATAATAATAATAAAAAATACATTAAAATTCAAAATACAAAACAAATTGTGAAGCCAGTGAACAATGCATTCCTATTAATCAGAAAAACAGAGTGAGACTAATTCTTCTTCTTTTAGTAACAAATGAAAATTCAGAATACAGCATAAACATCAATGAAAAAATATTTAAGAGGAAGAGACAAAAGCTACAGACCGGAATGAGGTAAGAAAGAAGAAATCTAGATGGAGAAACACATTCAGATTCTAGATTCTAGAAGAAACAGCTTAATACATACATGCAAATGGTAGCAGACAAGCATAAACAAACACTTAAAACTTGACAAAACTCAACTCAGCAATAACCAAAGTGATCAAATGAAAACAACTGTTAGAGAATAAAATAATACCAAATAATTATAATAATAACCGACAATTAACCAAACCAGTTAATTAATGCAATTCAAACCCAGAATGAAGGATGAGATAAAGATGCTAACTTGGAATGAGATCAACAAAAAAGAGGACCAAATTGGGCACAATAAAATTGACGTAGGATGGAGCCCATTTGAGAAAATAAAGAAATAAATAAAAAAGAGAAACTGGCGCGTGTAAAGGAAGAAGATGGTGATGAAGAAGAAGAAGAAAGTGATAGTGATTGATTTTTCAATTGATTTGAATGAATGACGTCAAAGAAGAATAATGTGGGTTGAAAAGGCACAAAACTGAGAGGCTAAGAAAACGAAAAGTAAAAAAGGGAATACATACATACATACATGATACATACAAGACAATATGAAAAGCATGTCCTTCGCACACAGAGAGGGATACTTGGAAAGCGCCAATTACTGGCTGGCCCACTCTGACCCCACACTCACATTCACATTAACCACTCTATAATTCTATTATTTTCATCTATAACTCTTAAACTTTTATCGGTGTATTTGGAGAGGCTCAACCTTTAGTCAGCACTGTTCTCCGCATTCTGGATTAGTCTCATAGCCGGCTCAAAGAGTCGAAGCTCGTGGGGATACCGGAGGGAGTCAACTCGTCTCAAGGAGATAATTAGGGTTGGGTAACTCCAAAAAAGAATTTTAAAAGATTTTAGAGTCAATTCAAATCTGTTGATATTCAATCAGGATCTTAGACAAAGGAAAAATAATCATGTGGTATTAAAAAATTTGACGATTTTAATGAATTTTCTATTTGTGTAGATTTCACGAGACTTTTTAGTGAGAAATATAAATAGGATGTCTCTCTTACAATCTCACTCTAATCCCTAGAATTTCTTGAGATTTTCTCTATTGCAGTGTCTTCGTCTTCTTTTGACAATGACCCGCTTGAAACTGGGTTTCGTCGTGGGAGCTTCGTCAAATCTCAAAAATAACATATTTTTGAGCGATTTACAACACAAAATAACCCAAAAATAACAACTCAATAAGATTTTAATCTAACTCATCTCAAAATAGCAGATTTTGAAGCAATTTTTTAGAATTTTTGAAAGTTTAAAAAATGATTTTTCAAGCTACTGGTCATTATTTTTTTTGGTACAAAAATGTGTGATTTTTGTATTAAAAATAACTTAAAACAGTGGGAAAACAATATGGGAACAAAAAACCCCCCAAACCAATTTTCATTTTACATCAATGAAACAAGATCAATTTAAACAAAGATTGAAACTTTCATAATATGAATCCTATTTTTCATAACAATACATTCATGAACGAAATTCTTTTGTTATAGGAAACGATTTCAAACAATTTTTGTATCAATAGATCACTACAACTTGTTTTTCAAAACCCCCAAAGCAATTTAAGGTTTCAATGTATCGATTGAAAATAATTTGAGAAATTTTTTAAACTTTCATATAATAAAACCCAGAAATTCAAATTCAATTTTTTTTAGAATACTCCATGAAAACATGCATATGATATATGGTTAGAAAACTCTCATCATGTAGAACAAAATCCTCAAGGTTTACAAGATTAATTGCAAAAAAATTCCAAACGAAAATTTATAATGAAATTTACTATTTGGAAAAATTATATTATGTTTTACTTTTTTTATTAATTTCATTGCATTTCTTTGTTATCTTTTTTTTATTGACTCTTGTAATTTTGAATGTTTGTTAAAAATTCATATGGTTTTTTAAAATCTTATAAATCTATATTGTCCTTTCAAATCTTATACATTCTATTAAAATCTTTTAAAATCAATCTTCTGAAATCTCGATTGTAAAAAAACGTTTTTAAAAAAAGTCTTTAAAGTTCTTTTAATTCTGAATACTGTTTTAAAATCTATAAGATTTTTTATCTTAATTTTTTTTTTAAAACCTTAATCCAATACACCCCCTAATATTATTGTATAATATTATGTAGTATGATGTACCACCTTGCTGTTCATGCTCTTATGTATTTTATAAATTTCCATCATAAAATATTTAAGAGATCTTCAATACAATGAATATTTGTTTAGTGACGGTTTGTTTGTTTATGATTTGGTTGAACGTGTGTACGTGACACAATGTTCAATTAAAATTATATATATAGCATCATTTAATATATGTGTCAAACTGATTAATTTATTGTGCGTTGATTAATTTATTGAGTGTGATAAAACTGTATATTAAAATTATATAATAAATATTGGAATATATTTTTAATATGATCAAACTGATTTGTCATATCTAATAAGGAGTAAACTACGAATATTATACTAATCTCTTCTCTAACCTATGTTCGTCCAGCATTGAATTAGTAAAAGGGAGAGATAAATTATTTAATATTATACTAGTTTCACGTCAAATAACTAAACAAGAAAGTTCGTGATTATTAGTTAACCAGTCCAATTACCAACTTTTAGAATTATGGTGGGGACTTGAGTCCTGGATCTTTTTTATACCAAACCAACCAATTATCTTTTTGAGACAAATAAGTTTATTTGGGTATTTTCATAAGTTTTGATTTTTGAATCAGCTATTAAACTAATGCCGAATGCAAATCGAAGATTAAGGTCTTATATCTCTTCTCAAGATGACATTGATGGAGAATCGAACCGAAGTCTTTAACTATCTACTCAATTTCTCTACACCAACTGAACAATTAAATTTGATTATTTATGATACAATTAACTTTGATTTTATGGGAATTACCTACGAGTACTATACAACCAAGAAAATGGGTTAAAGCTCTTTAACGTGGTCAGCTCTTTACCACTTTGTGCGCTAACTCGGGATGAGAGATTAGTCTTATGGCTATCGGCTGTGAAGATACCCGGATGTAATCCAAAAAAAAAACCAAAAAAATGGGTTAAAGCCCATACTGTTTTATTTAAATTTCCATTTGTGTTATTTTTCTCTCAATCCCAATATGAATTGCTCATAATTTCTCATCTTATCTTTCGATTTTATTTTCTTTCTATTTTGTGTAACAATCTTTTGATTTTCAATTGTTTCTGATTTTCGTTGAGATTATTTAAACCATTCACAAAATCGATAAAAACTTCAATATATCGGAACTCTATGCTCCCTTTTACTAAATAGAGAAAAAAAAATAGACTTAAAGAAAAATATAAAAAAAAAAAGCATAGGTCAAAAAGAAAAAAAAAATCATATTTAGTAAAATGGAGCACCGAAAGTTTTTCTCCACAAAATCCACCCCGTGATTTTCTCCTTTTAAATTTCTTCTATTTTTTAATATATTTATCTATTTGTCAGTTTAACTATATTTTCTTTTGCTTTTAATATTCATCTGTCTATTGTTTGAACTCGATAATGTGAATTAAACCCAAAAAAGTTGTGCAAGGTCTAAGAAATTTCTGAAGAAATTGGAATATGAATAATAACGAAATGAAACGGCACTCCAATATGTTAGAGCAATTGATTTTAAAAGAAATAATTGTTTAAAACTGTTCCCGAACATGTTATACCTTAAGTAACCTTTGAATGTTAAATTTTTTTCTATGTGCTGAATGCTATTTGACAATGTTATTTGAGATACCTAATTTTTTTCTAATTTTATCATGGAACAAGTTATTCTACCTACTTTTATTATGTCTATCCTTTTAATACCGTTAGATTATAATCACATCCAACGGTAGAGATTTGTGAAATAAAATAAATTATTTTTTTCCTTTCTTTTTCCTCGGTACCTCCCACACCTTTTCTCTCTCCTCTTCTTTCTCCATAATTTGTTTTACTGTACAACAAGTAATTCTAAACACCAAAACCAAGTTTAAGAAAGAGATACTTTCTCAACCATGGAGGTCTCCACCCTCATTCGCACCATTCAACAATTTAGAGGTCCCTGATCCAAAAATTTCCCTTTTTATTTATTGGATTTTCTTCATTTTGTCGGTGATTGGAATTATGGGGATGAGGCTGCATCTTTTTGCTATCTCTTCCTTAAACTTGGTTTAGGAGTTTAGAATTACTAGTGTTATAGTAAAACAAATTATAGAGAAAGAAGAGGAGAGAGAGAAAGTGTGGGAGGCAATGAGGAAAAGAAACGGAAAAAATAATTTATTTTATTCCGCAAATCTCTACCGTTGGATGTAATTATAATCTAACAGTATTAAAAGAAGTAGACAAAGGTAAGCAGAATAAAGATAGGTAAAATAACCTATCTCATATTTTATACTACAAATCTCCAACGTTGGATAAGATTATAATCTAATGGTGTTGAAAAGAGTAGACAAATTAAAAGTGGATAGAATAACCTATCCTTTTTATCATATTATGAGTTAATCGTACAAATGATTTTAGCATCTTTAAACTCAAAAACATTTTTTTTCTTAAGAAGTTAGACCCAACCAACTTGGCTTATTCTTATAAACATTTCGTTAACACTATGTACTCATTATTACGCATTATGTACTCTAAGTGTATTTAATAATTTCACTTTTAAATGTAATAATTTATTTAATAAATTTCTTAAATGATAAATTTATCTCCCCAACCCCACCAAAAAAAAAATCACTACGGATCTTTTGGTAAAAGTTGATATGACATTTTCTCTTCACTATATAACAAACATAATAAACACAATTAATCGTGATAAAATTTGTAAGGAAAAAAAAAAAAAACATGAAAACAATGAAAACTGGGAAAAAAGAAAAGAAAAACTTAAAGATTTTTTTACAGAAATTAAATTTGATAGGGAAAATTCTAGGAAATGTGCATATGAACAAGAATAACAAATATGCAGCAGCTCGCACCCTGTCCGAGGCACTTGCTATTCTTAGTTTCTCACAAAACAGATTTGAGGGGAACCTCTCTACAGCAACACTATTAGACATCTACCCCCAACAAGGCCTCTTCAATTGTGTTACTGCTTTGCATATTCAAGAGTTAAGAGTGCACAGATTCATTCTTAGAAGCACAATCATCCATAGCCTTTTCTTCACCTGCAGTTATGATATCTATTTATGACTAACACCAAATGCAAGAAATAGCATATGCATTATTATGAAGATATGCAAAAGGTTGTTATGTAAATTAAGATTTATAGTAGGACACAAAGATAGCTTCACATGAAAACTCTTTCTCAATAATACATTATAATAACAATAAGTTTTTCACAATGCATTATTACTAACATTGATGCTTAAACAGGGAATGCTAATATCATTACAAGAGACATCAACATCCATTTGCTTGAGTAAACCAAATTAATTAATTAAATGAATAGAAAACAGTACTGAACCTACCTAATTAATTTCAGAATGGGGCCTCAAGTGATTCTTCCCATACATCTCCACTGGCATTTGATAAATCTTCACCATCTTCTTCCATAGAAAGCCTAATATACTCTCTGTGTGCAAAACGATCCCACTCTGTCAAATTTGGATCCTCACGTTCCTGAACAAAATGGCCCCCCTTGTAATCAGAATTTACTAACAAAATTTGCTAAAAGCCTTCATTGATAATGAAATAGGATCTAAAACTTGCTTCTACCTGACGTATGAGAAATGGATCACGAGTCTCAAAAGCAATAAACTTGTTGAGATTGAAAAGAATATTGAAAACATTTCCAGAAAGTTTGCTGCCCTTCACATCTCGTAATGTGATATATCCTTCATTCTGCAAACATAGAACAGTTACCACTGGCTATACCTGCAGATGAATGAAACAGAAACAAGAAAAAAGAACAACCAAAGATGTAAGAATAAGAACAAAGGAGAGACCTCTGGTCCGATCATATCAACAATCTGACACAATATATCTTCAAAAAGCACTGGCTCTTGGGCCATGCACTCCATCCGATGTAACTGCTCCTCATAAAAGAACTGCATTTCATTTGGTGTCAGCACTCCATTTCCATCCAAATCTATGCATTTGAACCTACAAGAATTTAAAAAAAAAATTAAAAAAATCTTAAATTTCTATTTGAAAGCTGAGGAAGGGAGGAAAAAAAATTGCAGCTAGTGAAATTCAGAAAATGTGACAGACGATGAATCTACATTCTAGAATTGCATGGAACCCTCCAAAAACTTTTTAAATTGTGACTATTAGCAGTAAGCTCCGATGGATCTAAAACAAAGACCCAATTTAAATTAGGCATGGACAGCAGGCTTATGCAAGTGCTGTGTTGCTTAAATTAAAGTATGTTATGAAATGTGGAAATTGCTGCATATGATGGTGTGCTGTTTATGCATCAGATCATGTGACTTTACCAAAGACAAAAGATTATTTACACCAAAGCCAAACCTTGGCATATTATCATAACTAAATAAATGGACTGATGAACGGATAGAGAGGTATTAGACAATAACTAAAATTTTATTTTTCCATGATGAACCATAAGTGACGATTATAAAGAAAAGGTGAGCATCAAGTTATACAATTTAACATTAGCATGTTATATTGACAACATGGCATGATAAACAGGCAATAAATTAGAATGTCCCTAATATCCCTAAGAAACGTGAACTGCCAAAGCCATCCATAAACTCTATATCCTGCCATTAACAACATATATTAATGCCCATCAAACCCATCACTAGTAGCTACTACATTCTAGGACATTGTCCTTAGTTTAGACAGGTCAAAGGCATGATTGCTTGGCCCTTATTAATCAGTATACAGCATGTAATAAAACTTTAAAATTGATAATACTGACTAGTAAAAAGAATGCTTGAAATTATACGACATGTCAAAATCTCAAGAATCATGATTTAATAAAATTACCAATCGAACAATTACAATATGGAAGAAGAGCAGAAAATATCATGATTACAATATAAGGAAAGAACTAAGAGAAAGATCCACAAATGAAGTACCTATGTTTTGTAAAACAGCATGTGATATCAGTATTAAAGATGTTTTAGACACATTACAGGGGGAATTGATATCTTCAGACCCAAAGAGACCAACGTCAAGTTTATTTTTTCATATTAATAATTTAAAAAATTCTCCGTATAAATCAAACAGTAAAGAAAATAACTTGCTTTCATTTATTATCCAAGTTGTCATATATCAGTCAAAATGTATGATTTTCTATGCTGCTAAAATAATCCCCAGTATTTGAGAAGTCCAGGAAGCATACCAGTATTCTAGACTAGGTTCAGATGACTTATCTTCCTCTGCAAGTATGAAATAAACAAAATCTTCATAATTCATCTTCCCTTCAACTTTGCTGGTAAATTTCCGTGGAACCTGGCACAGTTTAAGAATAAATAAGACAAAAGAAATTAAATTATAGAACTGATTTGATTTGATTTGATTAAGGAATCAATTTCCCAGTTTGGAACTCATTAAAAAAACAAAATTGAATTGATTTGTAAGTCTAATTCCATGTTTGAAATACCATAAAATGAATGAAACTCATTCTTTTAATTTGCTTTATTACCCTTAGAATATGCAGAGTGAGCAAACTAATAAGGGCAAAATTATCAATTCAAATAATTAAAACTATAATCAAATCAATTCCAACCAAATTACAGTGGATTTCTAAATGCACACAACTTAAATCAAAAGGACTTCAAAATCAAATTAATTTCTAGCTTATAACTTTCCAAGCAAAGAATTTTATTTATAAGTCAAATTAATTCCTAAAATTTGTTCCAACCACACAATATAAATTTTCAGTATGAAGCTTGCTATAGCCGTGCACGGTAAAGCTGAACTTGGCACACTGAAAAAGATGTAAAATACCAACAGACCTGGGAAAAAATTCTATCAACAATCCGATATGTAAGAGAATGATTCCCATATTTAATAAGGTTCTCTCTATCAATGAAAAAGTCATGATCCGTGTCGAGCTCCCAAAATTTGCAGTAAATGACATAAAAATGCTCATATGAGAAGTACCTGAAATTTCGTGAAGATAATTAAAGAAGCAAATACAAAAATAAACAAAAGAAAATTTAAATTCTATAGAAATAACTATATTGGAAATGAAAGTCAATCAAGTGTTTGAAATATATCTGGGATGATCAAATGCCTCAAGATTGAACATAGACCAAGTAAAACATGTAAGAAGCATAAAGGAAGGTGCTAGCGTATTTAAGATTGTTTCTTCGCACCAAATATTGATATAGGATGAAGCTTTTTTCTTGGCTTCTCTTTGGTGTTTTGCTTTTTTAAGGAGGTTATAAGAAAGTTTTGACCCCGAAAACTAAAGGGCCATAATTTGGGTGAAGGATTCTGGGAGATTGATTGCTAGTTATGATGATTAAATGTTCCTGTATTATTCCTCCAGCAGTTCATATAAATCGAGGCATAAGCCAAAGGCAATTGATTCTATTACTACTAGGATGATTAAATATTCCTGTATTTTTCCTCCAGCATTTAGTATAAGTTGAGGCATCAGCTGAGGGCAATTGGTTGTGCTTCAACCTGAAGCCTTTCTATATTCTCTCGCTCGCTCTATCTAACTCACTGCCAAACTTTTCTTTTCTCTATAATTTTTAAACACTGCTCAGGGCTGCTTTAAGGGAGTTTCTCTCTTAGATATCCGAAGATTGGGCAGCTTACTGCATTTTTAATTTTCCTTGTAATCATGTTTTTAGCCTTCCCTGTTTTAGAGAAAGTTCCATCCTCCCCTCAGTTGATTGTCATCTCTTTTCTATAATATAAAATTTCTTCTATTAAAATGAAAAAATAAAAATAAAGGAAGGGAGATGTTTCTTATTTCCGCAATACAAGGGCAAGAAAAAAAACAATTCAATAATGGCAAGGAGCAAGATCTCTTTCTCTTGGCAAAATCATTATTCTATAGGAGTTCATGCTAACAAACATTAGCAGTAAATTTCCAGGAATACAAGGTTAAGCTTTCAGAAAAAAAAAACTAGTTGACTTTTCACACATTGTCAGCTAAAAGCCATTACCTCAGAACTTTGTTAATATCCTCTTCCTCATCTACATGCTGCATGGCATCAATTAGGTTCCCACGTTTCAATTCCCTCAGGGTAAGTCGGCCATTTCCTGATCTATTCATGTAGTAAAATATTCTGTGTATGACGGTCTCAGCTGTTTAAGCACAAAACATGTAGCATTAATACCTTAAGAACTTTTTGATAACATAAAATAAGAAGAATCATTAGATATATGATGTAGAAAAAGAATGGTAAACAAGAAATATGTTAAAAAAACTGAAATTCTGATGTTCAAGTTCAGTAAGACAAAATTTCCGGAGACATAATATGCCTTACATGGCAACTCTATGATCCTAATTCTACTAAGATGGCAACTGACCCAGACATAAGACTCTTGAAATCCCCAATTATATTTATATCAGCTTAATATAATTATCATAAAGATCATCCCCTTATAATGAATAAATAAAAAAAGGAAAGAAGTAGACATGTACGTGTTTGTATACACACACACACACAAATACAGCAAGCCTAATCTTCGAAATTAGTTGGTGATATAATCTTGCAACCCTAGTTCATATTTTATCTATCTTTTTTTTTACTCTCTCTTCATAGATGGTACCTAGAGCTGGTTTCTCAAAGGAACCCTAGCCACCATCAGCTCTGTAAAATAATAATAATAATAACAAGAAGAAGAAGAAAGGACTCAGAGGTCTCTTCAAAGATGCCAAATACCCTCTCTTTAGCCTCTAGAAGGCAGATTGACAACCACAGATGTGGTTTACAGCCAGATCATCATTTGTTCTCATTACAGATTGCACAGAGAGTGTCTTCCTAAGATCACGGCCTGATTTGAAACAAGAAAGCTTCAAATATCCTACATATTAGGCCAAAATGGCTTTTTAGGTTGAGTCCAGGTGTTGTTTTGTTTATTTTGCTCTGTTTTTGGAGATTTCAGACAAAATATAATTTCTTGATGATTGATGGCTGGTGAGTTGCTATTTGATGTGGGGCTGTTGATTTCTTGATGTGACAGTGCTGTTTTGTTCTTGTTTAATGTTTTGTTGTTGTGCATTGGTATTTTTATTGAGATTTTCCTCAAGTATTTGTCGAACTAACAGAAAAAAAAAATCCAAAAAAAATAAAATAAAATACTGTGGGAGAAAGTACAACTATGGCAGAAAGCAAAGCAATGGAGTTTATTACTAGGGTTATGGTTATTACTATTGCATCCAAAATCATCCACACAAAGTTGGAGAGTCACAGTTCTAACTACATGCAGTGGAAGTTTATGGTTGAAAGTTGAAACAAGTTTTGACACCATGGAGAGGATGAACATTTTGCAAAGCGTTGAGTCCAAAAGATGAGAAGACTGCAATGGGTGATAAAAAAAATGTTGGGACTTTGAATTATCTGTATGGGAGAACTCAGGATTGGATCATTCATTGTAAAACAGAAGGGCAAACTCCAATACACAAGGCTTCCCAACTTTGCAAAGGTGGGGGTAAGGGCTGATTTTACGCAGCCTTACTCTTCTATTTTAGCAAAGAGACTGTTTTTGAAAATCCCAGGTGTTTACCTATGGTGGGAGCAGCAATCTAAATAACATAGCATCCTTGAACATAGTTATACTTTCCTACCTAGTTACATTGCCACAAGGACTGCAAGTGGGTTAATGCGATGAAAATGAATTTTGATAGTTCTATTGCAAGTTTGAGTTACAACAGACTTAAGATATGCCTATACCTATACTTTTATCTTGTAGCCACGTTAACAACATTTTGTCTGTTAATTTCCTTTGTTTTCTAGCAATTGGCCATTTTACAAGAGTAGGATGTAAAGAATGCATTCTATCATGGCCACTTATTTTACAAGTAGCATGTCAGCCAGCCTGCATTCCAGCATGCCCATTGTGAAAGCAGAGAGTGGGAAGAAAAAGCAAAAACCAAAGGAAATCATTTTTATTTTTTTGTTAAAAGTTTAGATTAGAGTAGACACACCCCCTGTAAGGTCAGGGAAGACCACTGACCCGATTGAGGATTTAAAGTGGGAAGTGGGATTATATATCACCCACCAAAGAGGGAAACAAATTAGCTAAGAATTGAACCCAAGCCATGGCTAGCGAAATCATATTTTAATTGGAAAGCCTTATTGTCAGACATACAATTAGAAATTAGCCCAAAAATAAAATACCAATAACAAACATTCCAACCTGTCTAATCAGAATTAAAAACTCTTGAAAAATATTAGGCAAGAATTGTGACCTAGAGATCTACTGATATACCAAAAGAAACAAATTTAAAAAAAACAAAAACAAAAAAAAAAGACACACAAATTTATTAATCTAAATAGTATGGTCATACCATATCGTTCCTGAAATTCAGGCGTGCTTTGCAAAAACTCCAACCCAGGATGAGCAGACAAGAGTTCCTTCAAGACAGGTTTGAAATCATCCTACATCCAAAATAGATAACGTAAATGCAATTCTAATATGTAAAATTTTAGCGAGTACTTGGTAATTCATGTAGAGAGATAACAAATAGCAAATCGACTTGAGAGTAAGGGTACGGCAGCCTATTAAACAAAGCAAACCTGTACAAGGTATGTTCGATATGGTGGCTTCAGTATGGTATATATTTGTGTGGCTAAATCCATAGCTAACATATTGCCCTGAATCCAATAGTCAATAAATTGATCCCTACAATATATGTTAAAAAGTAGAGGCATTGTTCAACAGCGAGTAACATCAATACCAAATGTTGTACTCAAACAGCTTCATAGTAAATTATGATATTTAATCTGTTCATTATGAACCAACTACCCCAAAACTTAAGCTATTATGTGAACACACATGAATAATTTTGTATTATATCTCTCACATGCCTCCTCACGCAAGAGCCCTTTAGGCTTGAAGTATGGACAATACACATACCTACCTACCTTGTGTTGAAATTCAACTTCCTTTATTAGAAGAATGGGGATGGTAAGGATCGAACAGTATATCATTTGGTCATAGAGGCTTTAATACCATGATATGAACCAATTATCCAAAAAACTTAAGCTGTTAGGTGAAGACACATGAATGAGTTTATATTACATTACTAACACTGTTAAACTTCTATTTCTCTATGAAAGTCACACATAATTCATTGAGATAAAAGACATTTTGCATAAAAAAAAAAAAATTGTAATGAATTTCACAGTGGAAAGCTGAAGGGGATATTCACCCCAGCTACATGTTGAAAATAACTATAGCAATACATCTCAGAACAAACGAAAAAAATAACAGAAAATGTAAAACACTGAACAACTATCAAAAGGATCTTACAAGCAAATTACTCTTTATGCCCAAACGATATCTAGGAGGTACTTATGGGGGTCACAAACTAGTAAGTGGTATAAAATAAATAACACTGACCAAGTAACAAGAAAATGACTTGTACAAGCAAGGGTCCACTTGCCTCTTCTTTTTTAAGAAAAATAATGTCTTTTGATTAAAAAACATGTTTAAAATTTTTTATAATAATTAAAGTACGCTTTTTTCAAAAAACAAAAACAAAAACCTAAAAAATAAGTTTATTCTTTTAGTGCTTTTCTCATAAGCTAGAAAGAGTAGTTTCTGAGAAAAGACAAAAAAAAAAAAAAAAAACTCTAAAAAAAGTTATCATAAAAGCACTTTTTTTCAAAGTTTATCCAATCATTCCCTAAACTTCACTACAGTCTCAAGAACAAATCAACAACAGCATATGTGCCATATACTCCTCCAACTATATGGGCCTTATAATCCCTACATAGATTTATCCAGAGAAGTACCGCAGAGAACTAACTTGTACCCAGGTTAGTTCTTTTTATTGGTTCGTGAAGCACACATAACAAACTATCATACAACATAAATGTTATGATTTAGAATATAGGTTATGGGTTGATCTAAGGTTAAAATCTTTTTCTTTCCTTTGAGGGAAGGGATGGAACTAGTAAAAATCTAAAATTCATTAAACAGCCCCAACACCCAAGGAGCATAACCGATTCATCCAGCAAGTTAACACTTTCAACAGCTCATTCTATCTGCAAACATCTGGCAGCTCTATTTTTCTAATCATTTATTTATCAAATGTAACAGAAATAGTATATACAAAAAATTTAGATCTAAATCTAATAAAAATTCAGAATTATTCATCTTATGCAATAATCTAGTTAGATAGAATGATCCAACAAGAAATGTGGTACCTTGTTATGGTTCCACTAAAATTGACATCAATCTTTCTGAAAAGAGCAGTGGATAAAAAGGAGGGAAGTTTGCAGATCTCTTTCGTAACAGACTTAAATTCTGCAAATTAGAATACAAATTTACAACAAAAGTTGAAAAAGAACAAGTATTTCTCTAGAAGAATCTGTCATAATTGAGAATATAGAACTAATTAAGTCACAAATATCATGATCTCACCATGTAATTGTAGACCATCCAAATGGCCATAAAATCGATTATCAATCTCAAACAGGAAATGCTCTTTCATTTCAATTGGAGGTGGACGTCCATTTTTGAAGTAGAACTGCAAGCACATTCAAAGTTTAGCTAATAACTGTGAAACAAGGAGTTAATCCTTTCTAGATATAACCCAAAATAAAGTTTGGAGAAAAAATAATAAAGAATTACTTAAGACAATAACAAATACCTGAGGAATAATCTCCCTTACAGGTTCACTGACTAATTTTAGTGGAGAACCTAATGAAGAAGGACTAGTTCTCTGTTTCATGGTACGTGGGGAACCAGATGAACTGCGTGGAGAAAGTGGTGGTGTACTCCCAGCAGGAAATAAGGAAGGTAAAGAGTTGCTTGACAGAGTATTTGTATTTGTTGAGTTTTCAAGTGCATTAAAAGGTGCTCCTGCCTTTGCATCAGCAAGCAATGACTTAACCTGTGTTTATAATGCATCAATGACAATATTAACAGATGTAGCTTGAAAGAAAGAAACATAAAATACATCTAGAGGAATTTAAAAAAAATTAAAAATGGAATGGTGATGTTTTGGAGAGGGCAACACAAAATAGATTAAAACATGTCTAGTTCTAGTACTGCATAATTAGGAACTCTATGGTCATGCTATTAAGGGTCTGTTTGGATGGGCTTTAAAAAAAAGGACGTCATATTTCAGTAGTCATTACATCCCGCATTTTTCAGGTTCATGAATTTGAATGTTGTTTTTTCTTTTTTTGTTGTTGACACTGATCTTTCTCTAGTTATGTTATTACTCATAATAATAATTATTTTTATGTTTCTTCGAAGAGAAAATTAAATTTTCTTTTAATATGTAACTTCTGCTTGCTCTTAAAAATCTAAATTTAACTAAAATATGAATGGGTTACTCCTTCAGAGTCCAGAAGAAGTCCCAATAAAAACTTAATATTTAGCAAATCTTGCATAATTTAATTTAGTTTAATTTCTCTTCACAAATTAGGGATGTAAGTGCACTTTGCACCCTATTAGAGAGAATTGGTATATACACCAAAGCATCACCACTTGGAAAACCTCATAATAACATTGCCTAATGGCAATTAATAAATGTTAGTACCTAAGCCGGTTCCTGATGAAATACAACCATCTAGAAGCTCCAAAGTATCAATAGAAGCTCAACATTATAAGTATTCACCTCACATGATCTAGCGTGAAAGCATATCAGCACAAGCACTTTATAATTCCTAAACCATAACCTCTCTATCAGATGATGATTAAAATGAACACAAAAGAGCAGTTGTTTGTCTATTATCAGAACATGAAAATTATTCAGACTCATAGATTCACTTGAAGTAAAAAACGATTTTCTACGCTCCAAAAGTCATCTTGAAGGTGGAGGAAACTGCCAGAACTCTCTCTATAATTAAAATATTGAAACAGAGATGATCTTTTCTACTGTTGGGTCATTGGAGTCTTAAAGTTCCATCAAGGCATTAACATTAAATAAAAAGGGGTATTTATATTATTTAAAATTATAAAAGCAAATCTGGATAGTACGAATTCCCGAGATCAGACATCTCCGTCAAGTGGCAATGAACTAGAGGTTACTACAGTACACTCAAAAGGAAGGACAGGAATGCTTAAATGAAGACCAACAAGCTATTTACAAAAGAGCATATTCAGAACAGTAGATGAATACAAACGGAGTTTTAGTTGCAATCATGTAGCTTAAGAGATTCATAGGATCCAGTAGAATAGAAATGACTAGTCATTCACAGATTAAGGATTAAAACCTCATTATAATAATACAAGGGATTCTTTTTTCCTTCTACAGAAGTTTTCTATCTTACTTAACAATGTTTCGGTCTTTCCCTTTCAAACTTAAACACCTCTGGTCAAATTTTAGTTCAATTGAGAGTGTGAATAGCCAAAATCATTCATTCATATAAAAGTATAACTGGTTAAGTTCAAATCAACCGTGTATGTACCAGGCGACAAGTATCTGGAAGCGAAAGCCACTGTGAGAATAGCTCCTCAGCAACATAAGGACTCGATTTCAGTGCAAAAGGAGAAACCTCCTGAAGCTGCAACATATCTGGGTCCAAAGACACCAACTCCCTAGTTTCCTCCACATCCATCACAACCCAATTCTATTCTACCTCTCATGCACCCAACAACCCCAATTTTCAATCACAAATTCACAACACCACAAAAACCCTAAACCCCACCTCTTCAACAATCGCTATGATTCTTCCCTCTATCCTTCTTCCACCACTTGGGTCAGCAAAACCCAGTTACCAAGCTGGCAACTTTCAGCAAAAAACAATCATGGGTAGCCATGAACTACGAGAGAAGAAGAAGAACACAGAGGGCCCTTTTTTTGCTTCACTTCATTCGAACACTTGAATAAAACTAACACGACCCGGAATTGGAAATTCCAGGGAATTTGAATCCAAGGGAGAAAAGAATGGTTTTGCTGAGAATCAGAGAGGGAAACTTTTCGAAGGGAAGAGAAAATTTGACTGTGAAATAGATGAAAAAAAAAATGAAAAAAAAAAAAAAAGAGAGAGAGAATAAAAGGAAACCCTTGTTTGGTTTCGAGGTTTGAAAAAGAAATGAGAAAGAGGCAATGGAAAAACGGTAGTGAAGAATGAGAAAACACAAGAGAGAGGTAAAACAGTAGAGAGTTCTATTTATCTGTTGTTCTGTGTGCTATGCACGCACTGTACCAACTGAAACTGCCGAGACTGAGTGTCAATAATGAACGAGTGATTGCAAAACTGAATGAGTTGGGGGAATAATTTTGAATTTTTTTCAGGTGGGAAAAATGATAAAACTATTTTTTTTTAGCTTTAATTTAGGGCTTTTTTAAAAATGAGAATGGAAAATCTTAAGATGATTTATATAAATAATATGAAAAATAAATATTTTAATCTTTCATTTTGAATTTAAACTAACAATTTTATTACTAATAAAGAAGTGACCTTTCAATATATCATAAGCACCAGGACTTAACTCAGAAAATAAATAAGGGAACTAATTCATGTTTAGATTTTACTAATTTCCAGGATATAATCAATTTTTCCAAAAAAATTATCGAGTATGAATGTTTTTACACCATAAAGTATAAGAATAATTCTCAATCCAATATTGGTTTGGCCTACCTACCCACAAAATACTTCGAGTAAATTTGGAATCCCTGCGAGTAAAATGATGCGTCATTTAATTTAGAGGATTCCGTAATGTGGCTCGTTGCTACCAGCTTCTTACCCTTTCTGCATTACAATTATTGCGTCTGTATTGGGATTTGATGCATGTCTCAACATAAGAACCACGATTCGCATTTTAAACAAATGATTAGTGTATCAGAGTCTTGTTCAAGAAGAGGCAAAACTTACAATAGATCTTCAAATCCATATTTTAACGCTTGTAGGACTTTATAGCACAGCACCAAATTAGAAGTATTTCCTATCAAGCCTACCACAAGTGTCATTCCTCGTTTCTCTTAAACACCAAGTCTTGTAAATTCTGCTTGAACTGTTGCACGAGCGTCAATGCACATTATAGAACATAGAGAAGGATTTGAGGTAAAATACTGTGTAATCAGCCCACAGATACAAGAGGGGATAATCAGCACGTACAATGAGTAATAGCTAAAATATTATTCATTATACACGTGCTTCAAATCATTTAATTCTAACAGGCATAATAGTCAAACTGGCTAAATGCAGAGCAACCTCTTCTCTTTCTCTTATCCATAATTGGAGCCAACGATTCCATTCCCTCAATGTACATTAGAAAGAAATAGTCAGGTACAAAATACGCATAGAAAGGGTCCAAAACTAGCAAAGCATTTTTGCAGCTTCTTTTCCTTCAACAAGAAAAAGAGAATGTATTTATTACAAGTTGCCATATATTAACAAATTCCTAATACAGTATATCTTCATGAATGGGTCCATGCTGAAATAATCATGGAAGAACATCTGAAGAGGTATAAGAGGAGTCTGCCAAAGCTTCATGAAGAAATTTCGATGAGCTTTTAGCCTTGAATGGACCCAACATTGGATGGAAATATACAGAGTAATCAACAAGCATGGACATCTCAAAGGAAAGTATGAGAATAGAACTGAGACCTTTGACACAAGAAGTCTGCTGAACACACAGTTCTTCATTTCCTTTTTCCTGTACCAATTGACAGGAGCTCAAAGCTCCTGAGTGCATCATCCCGACCCCCTCTTGTCCCTGAAGCACGAGTAAAATATGTTTTGGACTCAAATCCTGGTTGAGACCTCTGAGTTGCAGATAGACGGCTACTGCTCGAAACCAGTCGATTGGAACGGCTTTCACTAGGCTCACCAGAAGAGCTTGGTCGGCTGCTTGATAAGACAGGCCTTTTTGAGGAACTGCCATTACGAGAAAAGCTGCGTGGCCTCTCAGAATCAGCTTGCTGCAAAGAATAACCATTAGTTAAGGAGTAAAGTTTAAGCAGTCAACTTACAATTCATAATAAAGTTTGAAGGTAACCAATCCATACACAGAAAACAATAATGACACATGTACTAACCACGTCTTTGGAAGATGGCACATCATCTGAAGACCTATGTAGAGCAAGCCCAGAGCCACTCCTCCTTGCAAATGCCTCGACTGCACCTGAGAATCTATCCCGAATCTCTGGTCCGCCTAAAATATAGGTAAAAAAATTCTTCGCTGATGAAAGTTTTTTTGGTACAGCTTGTAGCACTAAAATAATGCACTACTTCATCGAATAAAATGTAAATACTCAAATTGTTTAAACAAGTGAAAATAATATCAGTTCAAACCGGATGATGGGAATGAAGCACATAGACATAAAGAATAATAGAACTTTAAGGATTATGAATCCATAAGACATCAAAATTATTTATCAGCATAGCAGTAAGCTACAGGAGAAGAAAAAAAAATTCCAGATCTTGCTGTAGAAGGAGGAAACCTGAAGGCCGTTCTAATCTCTCTCCTGATTGTCCTGCATTTATGACTGGTTTACCACTTGGCTGTTGAAAATGCAGCAAAAAATTTGATTAACAAAAACCTTTACTTTTGCTAGAAATGCAATGAAACCACACTTCTTGTCTCTTCATAGATGAAAATCACAAGTACTCACTCGAGCTCTAGAACTGGATCCAATTTGTGGATACTTCAATATAGTCCAATCAAATACATAGTCAAATTGATAGCCTGTCATAGCAACATTTTCAACCTACTTGCAAATCCTTAAAAAATCTGTACCCGGAAACAGCAAAGCTTATATATACAAAGTTAACCTTCTCGGATGAATAGATCCCGAAAGAGTCTCTTAAGATACGAATAATCAGGCTTATCTTCAAACCGCAATGAACGGCAGTAGTGGAAGTATGATGTGAATTCCAATGGATATGACTTGCATAAAACCTGTCTCAGAAACTCATATAATAAATTTTTTGCACCAGATAAAATTGCGGAAAAAGAATTTATTTATTGCAAAATCAATTGTAATTAATTAAAGAATATACATACATACACATACACACACATATATGATGCAGAAAAATACTTGTAGTGAACAAATTCTACCAACAATTAAATCAGCAACAAACCAGCAGTCATCCTAATATGAACAAATACCAATTATTCTTGTTAGAATATCTAGAAGATGTCATAGAATATCTTAAAATAAGTTTAAAATATCTTAGATGTTCTCCTAGGATTGGTTTCTATATTTCATAATTATTTTTCTTGTTTTAGGAGTCTACTATTAGTATAAATAAGGATTAGTACTTTATAGTTTGTGTCATGTCAGTATACAAAAGAGATTATTAGAGTCTCTATTATCTTCTTTTCTTCCTCCACTCTATATCTAAATTCATATAATTTTAACATGAAATCAGAACGGTTTCATACTCCATGACTAGCCCTGTCACAATTCTTCTACCGAGCTCCCCCACAGCTAGAGCTCGTCAACTTTTACAGTGAGTTGTGTCCTTCTGGCTGTCTCGCAGGCCTTCTCCAGTCACATTTGTTGCTGTCTCTTGCGTGTTGTCTTTCTAGCAGCAATTCAGTGTCTTCCGGCCACCGTCATCATCAAAAAAATTTCCACAAACCTTTCCAGTTGGTGACCCAACGATCTGGTTCGTCCATTCCAGCCTGGTCGACCCATGCTCGCATTTTTTGCCCAGTTGTCAGTCCTGGGCGTGGAGCTTTGTTTCCGGCAGCACACCATCAGTCTAGCTCCGTCATCCAGGTCTGTCCCTGATCTATGCTTGTTGTCCCCCTCCCCCTCGAAGTCTATTTGGAGTGCTCCTATCTCTATCCTGCACTGTTCATTGCACTGTTTATGGTGGTTCATCAGGTGGTTTGTTGCATTGTGGTGGTTGAGTGGTTCACTACTGGTTTGTGGCTTGGTGTTTGCTCCTTGTCATTGTAAGCTGATTTGCCACTGATGATTTGTGTCATAGTCATCATTGGTGGTTGTCGTCCATTGTGTATAGTGTGTTTTGGATGTTAAATCTTGAATCTAAAAGATATCATATAATATCTTAAAATAAATTCAGAGTATCTTAGATGACTCTTTGGATTATTTTCCAATGTTTCCTTATATTTCATAATATGTTTCCTTATTTTAGGAGTCTACTATTAGTATAAGAGGAGGGATATTCTTACTACCAAAATTTTCCACTACCAACTTACTATCTATCTAATCACCATTAGATTAACATTTTCTCTCTTTTCAAAAACTTTTTAACATTCTTTCTATTTGATCCAATGGTGATGTCATAGGTAGTAAGTTAATAGTAAGAATTTTTGGTAGTTAGAATATCCCCACTCTTAGTATAAATAGGGATTAGTACTTTGTAATTTGTATTATACAAATGAGAATATTATTTAGTTTCTATTATCTTCTTTTAGTCGGAGAGCCTTGTACACCGGGATTTGCCTTTTTTTATATTATCTCCTTTTCTTCCTTCCCTTGATACCTAAATCCCTATCATTTCAACAATTCTAATCATCAAAACATTCACAAAAAAGCTGTTGCGAAAAAGTAATAATACCTCTATTGGAGTAAGCATCTTCTTTTCACTTATCCTATCGTATTTTTGCTTTTTAGTGCCAGCTTTCAAGCCTTGCCAAGGGAGACTGGAAAAAAATTGCCAGTGTATATTAAAATACAATGAGAAAGATGATTACAGAAGTAAGAATCTCAGCACTGCAATCAACCTTCCTCTCAAAAAGTACATCAGCACATAACCAAGCGATTCTAGATCATCTCTTCTGCTTTGTTCTGCAAGAATTATCAAAACAGGACATACTATGAATTTGCATCCATTTTGAATTTGAAAATTTTAAGAAAAGCTTATTGATCAGGAGCTGCAGCCTGCAACACATTGCCTCACTCACCAACTCCAAGATGAGTGTTGACACTTGCATACCGAGCAGTTCCCGTGAGGTTTTTGTTTTCCCTGAAAGAAAAGTATTGTGACTATTCATGAAAGGAAAGGATATGTAAACAAGTGATGGATTCAGAGGATGACACATAAGAGAAGTTAGAAGTGAGCAGATGGGAGGATTTTCATGCTTAGTCAGGCAGCAGGTGCAGGTTCAAGTTTAGGAAATTAGGAATATTATTTTGGATTTTGGTTCAGGTTCAAAACTAGTAATACTCAAGTTGCACACACCAGTTTAAGCCCTAGTAAAATAAAACCTGTTAGCCATCCCAGGTCCAGCAACAGATAATATTATTCATCGAAGACAAGGTCAAAACAACCCGAGGAATCCAAAAAAAGAAAAGGATATCAAGTACCATATTTATTTAACCTAAATGAGCTGGAAGACAGTTAACAACGCAGTAAAGTTCCAAAAATAGCAAATACAAGAGGGAACAACATTTTCGAGGAACCACATGAAATAAACTTTGTAACTTCCTAAAGTAACGAATGAAAGATAATATTGGACCACATACTCAAGGAAAGAAATGAAAACAAGCTACAGATCCTGCCCAAACAAAAATCTCAATTTTGGTACCTGTATGGTATATGCTTATGGGTTTGGAGATCCCGGTACTTTTTTGCAAGGCCATAATCAATTACGTATACCTGCTATGTATAAAAAACAATCACAGATAACAACATAGGATTTAAATTATTGATATAAAACAGGGGTAGCTGCAACATAAAGCAAAACCAACTTAGCATGCATATTTTTGAAATTTTGGAAACAACCCTTACAACCGGAGGACAAGAAGGGCATTGGTGCAAATACCACTTGAGATGTTAAATAGGTGATATGAGAGAGACAGAGAAGCCTAAGGACAATTTTTGGCTGCTATTTTAGGAGCAGGCAAAGCATACTATCTTTTTTTGGTTAAAATAGATGACGCATGTCCAGCAGTAAGAAAATTCAAAGGTACATTGTCAGTTGACCTCCTTTTTCTAAGTCACATCTTTCGTACTTCTTAGGTCCTACGACATTGTTTCAATCTGAATTTGTTTGGTAAACTTAATGCGCAACCTGATTTTCAAGAATATATTGGGCTCACCTTAAGTTGACCGGGATAGTGAATAGTTTGGTTCTTAGGCAATACCAGGAGTATAATTTTTAAAATTACATAAACTTCCTTAAATTATTAATTTAAAAAAAAGGAGTTAGATGTAAAAGCAAAGAAGGTGAGTGGGGTAGAGTGAGAAAGAAAATCAAAGATATGCTAAAAAAAAACTATAAAAGTAACAGGAATCAAAGAATTAAAGGTCGAGTAGCAAAGTCATGCTGTGGTTTACAACAAAAAGGAGTAGAAAACTTCAACTAACAAATTCCCTGTAGGAAGAGCTGTCTAAGTTGAATCATTTTGTATGTCTGTGGTTTATTGGGCATGATATAGTATTAACCAACGAAAAAGTTTATTTACAATGTTCAAGTTCTGAATACTAAATTACCTATCCTAGGGCTACTACACACTAGAGATCATTAGGAATTTACAACCAAATTGAAGTCTCCATATATTCACTAATCTGAATGAAATAGCTTTGATCATAATCTTAAATCACAACTGATACTTTAGAATACAAGTGAGCAGTGAGTCATGCATAAATACCCAACCAAATAAGGGTGAATTCAAATAAATTCCAGAAACACAACATACCTGATTTGCCTTACGGCCTAAACCCATTAAAAAGTTGTCAGGCTTTATATCACGGTGCAGAAAACCCCGGGAGTGCATATACTCAACTCTGTTTATCTAGGCAAACCAAATTGAGAAAAAGATTAAAATACAGCAGCTGTCTGTTAAAAATATAGTTTTCTTGAAATTAATACTTACTAGCTGATCTGCAAGCATCAGAACTGTTTTCAGAGAAAATTTCCTATTGCAATAGTTAAACAAGTCTTCAAGACTTGGGCCAAGAAGATCAATGACCATGACATTGTAGTCACCCTCAACTCCAAACCATTTTAAATGGGGTATACCAGCTTCAAAAATTAAAAAATGAAAATGAACACACTAATCAGACAAGCTCATACACTAATTTTACTTCATGACAGTGAAGTAAACAAATGTATATCTTGCCTACAAGAAAAGAAATTGAAGAAGTATAAATTAGGAAGAAAAAGGAAAGAATGAAAACGTACTTCCCCCTTGAAGAAGTATATACAATTTTGACTCATAGTGAAGTTGAGGATGCTTGGTCTTCACAGATTCCTGGCAAACACAGGAAGAGAATGGAAAAAGAATTGACAATAGCTTAATTTTGAAAAAGCTAGGGAACAAATTGTCACAAAGTGACAAAACTGAGGCTGATTAATACAGGACCAAAAATCTGTATCATGTTATGCTCAACAGAAAATAATATATGAGCAACAATAAAAGTTACAAAGTATTAAGCCTTGCATTAAAGATTTGAAGCAACTGAAATTTGAGACATCATCACAGTATCAGTTGTTTAAAAGGTCAAGCTAATGAGAAAATATGTTGGCCCAACAAATGTGCATAAATATTGAAGCATGAAACAGCATGTCAAATAATGTATGCAAATCAAATCTTAGACTATAGCTTTTTCTTCTATCTTTTTCCTCCTTTGCCAATACATATAAACACAGTCCAATGATGATCACATAATATAATTTATGCCTAATGCCAAGACTCTTGGTTCATCATATATAATTATTTAAATATTCTCCAATCATGCCTCGTAAAGGCATGTGACATTTCCATTAATTAGTAGTATATCTCCATGGGATTTTCACTGCTGTCAGATGTCACAAAGGAAACTGCCAATCTCCCTTTAGTTTTTCATCATCAAAATTTTCAACTCAACAGTTATCCCAAAAATCCCTTTCTTTTAAAGGTAACTTCTAAGTAACACAGCGCAATAAGTGAAGGTCATGCAACCAGTAAACAAAACCACAGCTACTACCATAGCCTTAGTGACAGGCCTAATGTTTCAAAAAATAACGAGATACCAATCATTTCACTTCGACAACAATAAAATTCCATCTATGCACTAAAAACAAAATATAATAAAATCAAAGGATGAGATAATACTTACTACTTTTTTTTTTTTTTTAGTATCTCTTACTACCAAATTTTAACCGTTGATTTCCATCAATCTAACGGTTTTAATTTATTGAGTCACATTTATTAATTAATTATTAATTCTCAATAAATTATAACCGTTAGATTGACAAAAATCAACGGTTAAGATTTGGTAGTAACAGGTAGCAAGAAATAAAGGTAGTAAGTATCATGGTAGTTAAAATCTCAATTTATCACTACGATAGTACGTTTTTACGGAAAAAAATTATCAAAATAATTTTATCAATATTCCAAAAGCTTTTATATTTTTACGATTTTTTTACGTTTTACTATTTTTTATCGCCTTTTCGATTTTGAGTTGAGTACAATCTCGATTTTAAATTTTTAACTACCTTGGTAACTATAACCTCCCCCAAAATCAAATATCAAACATTTAACATTCCCAAACATCAAATAGAAGCCAATAATTGCACTCACCAGCTTGACAGCCACTTCCTCTCCATTTTGTACATTAACACCTGAAACAAACAAAAGCACCAGAAGACCAAAAGAGTTGTGACGTCCAAATCATTTAAAGTATACAACGCTACCAAAGGAAAAAAAAATACTTGATAATATGCATACCCAAATAAAGCTCTCCAAACGATCCACTCCCAATCTTCCTCCCAAGCTTGAATTTTCCACCAATAACATGATCCATGATTACAAACGCAATCTCTTGATCCTTGCTAAATTACAAAACCACTTTACTATGGGGGGTGGGGGGGACAATTTTTGCCTATTCCGAGTGTCTCATCAACGATCCACCTTTCCTTCCAGCACAATCTCAGATCCAACGAGATTTAACATTAACATAAAGATCAGAAATTGTATTGAACAACTCAAAAATTCAGCTTATATTAATCCCAATACCCAAAAAATCAACGAAAAAAAGAGAGAGAGAGAGAAAAGAGCTAGAATCTACAAAACACTCAGTGCTTGTTAAATCGAAGCACAACCACGATACCGGGATCATTCAATGAAACATCTTTTCCACTTCGGAGAAAATAGCTAAAATACCGAAAAAGGGTGCAACAAAAATCGGAGTAACTTTGAGTAGATAAAATATAGTTTGCTCCACAATAGTGAATACTGTGCAAAATGTGAAAGTGTAGGAAGAAGAAGAAGAAGAAGGGAGAGAAATCTAATGGCTATAATAGTCTCGCCCAAACTGTGTTTTATTTGGTATCCCCTTTCGGATCTGTCTTCGAGGACAAGGAGTGAATTTTCTAGGAAAATTTTGAGATTCCGGGAAAAATAGAAAGAAAAGAAAAGAAATTGGGATGAGAGAGAAAGAGAAAATGGAAAGAAAAAGTGATGTGAGGTGGGAGGAGGGAGGAAGGAAAAGAAATCGGATGACTGTCCAAACTAGTGTGTCATATTATATCACTTTTTGTTTATTATATTTTAAAGTAGTTTTGTTAATTTTAATTTGTAATAATTATTGTTCATTTTCTAATTAAGAGAAAATTTAGGGTCTTAATCCAAAATATAAACATACTTTACCGTCAAAGAATCACCAATCACTGATTGGTAATCACAACAATTGATAGTATTAAACTATGGATTTTATAAAAATTATGTTACAGAAAAAGTGATTATGTAATATTATAGAGATTCGTTTTGTGTGCCGTAGTTTTTTGTTCTTTTTTTTTTAAAAAAATATGGATCCCACAAAATATTGTGTGTGTAAGAAAATTTGTTGTGTCATGTTAAATGATAAATGCAAACCCTTTAAACTATTAATTATCTTCTAAAAAAAATAAGAGAGAGATCTTAGCAATAGCTCATTGTAGATATTGTTAGCCGCGTCTTAAGTTTTTTACTTTATATATGGGAAATGTTTTTAGAGAAATTTGTAGCTCATTTCAAAACTATGTAGCAGAATATCAAATCAATTTTTAGGGAAATTTGGTATAGGACATTGAGGTTGTTGTGAAGCATAGATCGCTGGAGTGAATTGGCGTAAACCAGAGAGAAATTCAGGCTTCGTGAAAGAAAGAAAAAAATAGAAGAATTCACAATTTTGTAAAGTAAAATCACGGCTGGTGCTTTAACAAAAGAGAGTATTTTAGTTTTAAAAATATTAAAGTAGAATTATTGTATAATTTTCCATTATTGGAATTTCAAAAATATCACTCACATGATAGTTTTATTTTACGGGATTCTTGTTTACAATTTTAATTCCCAAAAATCTCATTTTCTCTTAAAATTTTTAAGAATTCTTACATTTAAGGTGAGTAAACTAAAATTCCTAATGTGAGTGTTATGAGAATTAGGACAGTTAAGTGATTGTGATGTCTTAACATAATAAAAATAATTAACAGATACTTATGAGCTCAAGTACAAGGGCAACCCCTCTAATGCCTGCAATTGCCTGTCCTTATACTGATTCAACTTTTATACGGCAAGAAACCAATTTGCAAATTTTATAGTGAGTTTTTCTTTTTTCTTTTCTTTTTTATACATAGTGAGTTTTTCTTTTCTTTTTTCCAATAATATTCATTAGCAAGATTTACATTTATTTTATTTTTTATTTTGGTCGGTAAGGTTAAATATTCTTTACGTTAAATTCTTTGTTGTTTCTGTGATTGTTAATAGGATTGTCAAATTGGACAATCCCAACCGGTTTATAATCAATAAATATGAATGAGAATGTATCAAGTGAAAAAAAAAAAACCCCCCTAAAGCTCTTAGATGTATAGCTTGATTTTATAGCAAACCTTATTGTTATTTTAAGAGAAAAATATTTATTATTTTAAAGAACACAATTTTGTATCATTTTATATGAAATGAAATTATTTTGATATATATTTATTATCTTTTATATTCGTTCTCCTCCACAAAATTAAAAAACAAGAGTATTATGGAGAAAAAATATATATAAAAACGAATAAATATGCATCAAAATATGATTATTTTATTAGAAATGACATAAAATTATGTCTTTTAAAATAAAATAAAAAATTTCCTTATTTTTAATGATAAATAGATACAAAGAAAGTCATCCCTTTCAGCGGAAGAAAAATATATAGATACATAGATATTTAATGTGGAAAGTTTTTACAGTTCCATTTTGTATGTGATTGAAAATTATTTTTACATAATAAAAAGTATGTTAAAGTTTTTTATAGCGACACATTTCAAGATTTATGTAGTTTCTGTGTGAAAAAACTCTATCAGTGTTATTCCACAGAATTTATATGCTTCCAGCTTTATCTTGTAAGCACATGACATAATAGGCTAGGGAAGTGTAAAAAATATTGGGTATGGACTGGCCTATTAGTCTATGTAGGCTCCAGATTACAGGTCTAGTCTGACCTATATTTAAAAAACAAAAGCCAAGGCCTAAGCCTGTTAGCCTGTTTAAGCCTATGAAACATTCAATAATTAAAAGAATAACTAAAATAATATTAATTTATTATTCAAAATTATTAAAATAATAGTTTTATATATTATATTTTAAATATATAATATAATATAGGCCGACCTTAGGCTTATTGGCCCGACATGTACAAAAAAAGCCTATGGCCTATTTTTTAAATAATTTTTTTTTAAAGCCTAGGCATGTTCTATTTTACTATTTATAATAAGGTTCAATCTAGCCTAATATAGGCTAGTCTATAAGTCCCTGTAAATCGGTCTAACTCATTTACACCCTTAGCAGTGATGTCATAGCTAGATTCAGGATTTAGTCTGCCTCAAAGATAATGGATTAGATTTTGATAATCATAATTCCTAAGCAGGGTAGAAAGATTAGTAAGGCCCAATTAAAGCGAACTTTTTTAATACGCTCAAAAAATTGACACTTGTATTATTATTATTTTTCTCTTTTCTCTTTCCTTTCTCTTCAATTTTTTCTCCCTTTCTTTCACCTCAGTCCCACCCAATACTTTTTGGTCCTGGACCACCGGAAGTTCGCTCCAATCAAAGACACTGATTAGTATTTTTTTTTTTTTAAATACAGATTTTTTTTATGGAAAAAGTGTTTGTCATTTTAAATGACATAAAGTTATGTCATTTTAAGAGAGAGATAGACACAAAATAATTTTTTTTATTTAAAATTTAAATTAAAAAAATCACTCACTTTCTCTCTCCCATGATTTTCATTTTTTGTGTCTATCTCTCTCCTAAAATGACATAACTTATATCATTTAAAATAACAAACACCAAACTCTTTTTTTATCAGAAAATATGTGGTAACTAAATATCCTTGAAACGTGAGATATTCATGCCATATTGCTGTACGACGTAGTTTTTTTTTTCTTTATAATTTCTTTAGCCACGAATCCTTATTCTAGCAATCCATACTCTTCCTGTCTATTACTCCAGCGTTTGACAGAGAATAATTTTTTTAATCCAAGAATTATAATTTTTAGGAATATAATGAAAAAATCACTTTTTCATAAATGTTACCAAAATACTATTTGGTAAATCAAAATATTACTGAAATTTTATCCCAGGAAAATATAAAATTTTTCCAATATCTAGAATTCCAAGAATACCACCTGGTGGTATTGGATGGCATTTTGGAAAAAAAAGTATACACAAAATAAAATCCCAAAAAAATCAAATTCCTGAAAAGATTTTCACAAACCTTATACCAAACATGGATAAATAGGATTATCACTGCTACTTTTTTCAAGAATTTCAAAAAATTTCCCCTACCAAATATTTCTTAAGGGGGTGTTTGGTACGAGTATTTGGTAGGGAATGATAGGAAAGTGGAATGAAGAATATTTATTTACCATGTTTGGTATGAGTATTGTGAATAAAATGTCAGCAAATTTTTTTACCCGGTATTATCCATTTGAACTACACAAAGGCAAATTTATTTCCCACTTAACCTTTAGTATTTATTTTTTCCTTGATCTTGGATTCTCAAAAAATAACATTTGATTAACTTTTTCCCAAAAAAACGTAACATTTGATGATGACTCTCTTGGCATATTCAAAAAATTGGTATTTTGATAATTTCATTCACATTCCCATCAATATTTTACCATCAACCAAACATAGCGTCAGTAAAATTAACTCAACTTTCCCTGCAAAATTTTGGCCAACCAAATACTTTTTTGTAACTTACCCGGGATAAAAAAATTCTTACCAAATCCCTAACAATCTTATTTTCTCGGTAAAAAAAAATATCTCTTATACCAAACGCTCCCTAATATTAAACTTATCAGCTTGTTATCATAAGCATGAATAAAAGGCGGAATTTTAGGCTTTGGTGCTAAATCTAATTTTTCTTTTACCTCTATAAAAAAATTGCCTGATATGGCTTTTGAGGCTATCCCAATTTAAATTCTCTCATCAGATTCCTTCTTTTTGAAATAATACAAATATTTATCTTTTGTAATTTATTTATATTATTATTCTTTTTTTTATATTTCTATATTATTAATATATTCTATAATATTCATATATTATAGACTATCTTATCTTACATTTATATAATAGGTAAGGATCATTTTATACCAGTATAAATTATACTTTCAATCTTAGTTGTTGATTCTCTTTATATTTATCGGCTCTGATTTATTAATTATATGAGCCATTAAATGCAAGCAAATTAATGATCAAAATTTGATGTAAAATTTCTTATTCTTACACTGGTACAAGATTAATCTGCCCCTTGTATAATAGTGTATATATATAATGGGTTAAAACTTTCTTATGTTACATAAAAATGTCCAACTCATTCATGCACAAACACAATAGCATGGGTCCTATGGAATTTTTTATTTTTTTTTAAAAAAGAAAGTTGAAAGCAACGTGTTTTCTATCTGCAGGAACGGAGAGAATTCCTATGTAACATAAGAATTTCAATCCCCATTTATAATAGTATATGTAATTTTAGAATTAAAAAAAAAATCTTCTTGATGAGATAGTTTAGGAATCGAGTTCCTTTAGTACTTGTTGCATAAGTTTTACCTGTTCTTTCTACTTGAATTTATCCTTTCCCAGGCAGTGTCATCATTGACATCGTACCTAGAAGAGTAGCATTCTTGCGGCACTGTTGCACAATTAGGAATGTGATGCGGCTAATATATCAATTATGGTGCAATTTGTGTTCATTTGGCCAAAATACAGTGTTCATTTGCCAAGCAAAACCAATGTGAAGAGATAATCTCCATATTATTGTTTGCCACATTGTTACGTGGTTAGTTACCATGGTAGCCCATGTGCATTTTCATTTCACCTAGGTTGATAGTTGTGCTTTCTTGAAGAAAATAATAGATAAGGAATTAATGTTGTATATCCAAAGATTATGTAATCTGTCATGCCATAGGGCGTCATTAACATGATAGATTATGTTATG